AGGTGGTAACCCATACATGCAACAACAGCACCCTCCGTCGTCTTCTCCTTGAGGCCTGGGCTGGCCTGGGCTGGCCTTCCCTCACGCGTCAACTCAACTTGGAGCAGAGCCGACCCGAACGTAGTGTAGGTATACTGCCTGCCATCGAGACCGTCTGCATATGCGCCTTGGTGAGTCTGCAAGCCAAGCCAAGCCATTGCATCGCGTTCCGTCCACCACATCCTGACGACGTCCTTCTTTCGTCCCCCCAGGTGCCGGTCTAGTCTCACAAAGCTGCATTAAACCTGCATCGGCGAGCACTCGGAAGGCCAAACACCTTGCACCGGTTGGTGAGGCACTTTCCCGTGCCGCGACTTCTCCTCATTACCCGCAACGGGACGCTGCCGCCGTCGTCCTTCAAACGAGAGCTCGGTATTCTTCCGATCTTCGAGTCTAAGACTACCCCAGCCTCGAGTCACCCCAGTCTGGACCGACCGTCCCTGTCGCGACACTGTCGGTGATGTGGTGTTTGATCCAGAGACCTCCTGCAGGGCACATTTTACAACTAACGCGGTTCTCATTAGCCTAAAGTCGCTGTTCGGCCTGTCGCGGTGCCTTCAGCAAAGTCGATTCCTCTTCGGTCCCGTGCCTTTTTGGCTAGGTAGGCCACTGCGATACGTCTGACATACCAAAACCGGCTGTCATCGGATGACCGCCAACAGCTCTCGGACGTTGCCTGCCGCGTGGGGGACCAACGATGCATCGAAAGCTAGGTCGACGCATCGCAGCCGTGCCATCGTTGTCCGGTCCCCTGCCATTGAGCCACCAAGCTCAGCGTCAGCTCTGAAATAATTTCCCGTCTCCTCCAGGCCTAAGGCTGATGAGACCCATCACCACCACAAAGAACCGCCTACGGATACCTATCCACTGCATGCATCCGCGGGGAGGGGATGAGAGAGGAAGAGGCTTGCCGCTACTATCTTGGTTCTGTCCGCCACACGTGTGAACCCCACTCAAGCTCCATCAAGAATTCAGAGAACGACCGAAAATGCGGCGGCCCGCAGGTGTCTGCATAGGAATGACCCGACCTCACCACATTCACTCAGCCGGGGTTTGTTTTTTTGAATTTTTTTTTTTAAACTCTTTAGCCTACTTTGTGACGCCGCGCATCTGGAACGAGCAAGTGTGCTCCCAAAAGGAATGAAAAGTTCGCGGCCTGCAGCGTGGGATGACAGTCCGAGGGGCGGGGGTTTGTCGCCAATACCAGCTTATGTTCAGCCTGGTTCTAGACGTTCAACGCACCAGAGAGGCCCCAGTCATGTATTGTGTACTGGGGCGGTACGAAAATACCTCGAAAATGGGTCCACTTCCAGAATACTCCATGCCAACGTCTCTGATTGGTGGTAACGACCCAAGCGCAACGCAGCGGCAGCGAGGGAGAAGCAGGTGAAAGAGATGTAAGCCGTGGGGTCTCCAGACGTCGCAAGCCACATTTCCCACGGTCAAAGTGCGCCCGAATTCTCGCCCGCTTCTCGGTGGATGCCCCCCTGGATCAATCAAGCAACAGATCCGTGATGAAGATGAGATGAAGCCTCCAATCTGCACTTCCTTGCGAACTCGTCATGCAAGCATTATTGCGACCACCAGATCAACCCTCTTCCTACATCTCAGCGGGCGTAATACTCGTCACTGACCACCGACAGACTGGGATGGGCTTGTCCCGACACGGGCCACGACCTCTCACTTTTTGAGGGGGTTAGCTGCCGCCCCCAAGGTGTGCCGGCAAGTTCCCTTCTCTCAATGGCAGCCGGAAGCGCAACTAAGCACGATACTTACCTCCCTGCTTCCTACAGCGCAAAGCGTACCACACACTGTATCTGCCGCAGGTACACGGGACACCATATTCCAAGCTTTCATTGGGAGCACGAGCCACTGAGAATACCAGGGCCCTGGACCAATATACCCCGGCCATATGTGCCTTCATCACCGTGGAGCTTTGACTAGGACGGACGGGTACCGCAGCCTACGAGGACACAAGGACAGCAAATCTCTCTTCAAGTGAGATTGCTCAATGTTTCGGATGAGCCTTCGCCATGTGCAAGAAATAGCAATTACCACGTATTCCCGAAAGCGAGGTGGGTGATGGAAGCGGGTCACGATTGAGGGCCTCGAGGAGGCGAACGGATGGGGAAAGATCTGACGAACCAAGGACGGATTCGGCTCCTGGGGCCGTGTTCCAGTGTCTGGTCTAACATGTCGTTCGCGGTTCATCGATGGCCCAGTCACCCAGCATCTCTTTGACTGGCTGGGAGGCAAGGCTCACAAAGGCGTAGCGAAGCGTATACTGGCCCTGGAGTCAGAACAGGTCCCACCAACGACAACGGTGGGCACACGATTTGGCGCTGTCACTGCCACTACCACAGCCAGGGACCGCCGTCCGGCGCGGCTGGCACAGCGGTGCCTCGATTTGCTCCTCTCTCTTGCTTCTTTAGCGTGAGTTCGGAGTCGTCTTAAGTGGAGTTCCGCCGAGATGGGCTTCGAGGGGGCGGGCTTTTGGCCGTGCCTTGCTTGTTGCAAGTTTCTTCCCATATCCCCGACAGGACCCTGAAAACTGACCTGAAAGCTGACGGCGGCACCATGTAAGCCCTGGAATCATGGTCCAGTGGCGCCGTCGACATCTTGGTCTTTGGGATCGGCCATTCGGGCGGGCGGACGAAAAGAAAACTCGGTACACTTGAAAACGGGTCGGCCTCACGAATGCAACAGTGAGCTTATACGGGCCCTCTGCGGGACCGTCCAAGGCATACGCAAGTGCGAGCCGGAGCATGGCATCTATAGGCGCAGATGAGGAACTCTGTTATGTCTTCGGCTCACCTTTAATGACGCTTGTCTGTCTTGGGTTCCAGCCTCCCAAAGGGGGGGACGAGGCAGAGCAACGTCCTGGCAAGCTAGAAATGCCGGCCGGCCACAATCCGAACGGCAGCACAGAGTCCAGTCCAGCGTGCCTCCTCGGCCCCAAGGTTCCCCATTCGTCTCTGGTTTGCCGCCATTCGATTTTAGTGGCCTCCACACATTCTCATTTAGTCCAACGTCCGCTGTCCGACACATTGGTACACAGGTAGACAAGCAGGACCAGTATGGCTCGGTGCAACCTTCAGAGGGAAAGGCCTAGTCGCATCGTACGGTCAAGCGGTGGTTTTCGTTTATTTTTGACAGATCTTGCCAGTCTGACAAAGGTGGCCTGTGTTGTTCTCGTACAAGATTGTAAGCGCTGTGGCTTGGGGCGGTTTCGCCGTCTCGGGGAAATTGGCGGAGCAGCACCTCTTCCTGCCCACTCTCCGATCCATAGCAAAGGAGTTAAGATTCGGATCAGGTGTCAGCCCTCGCTCTCTACGTCGAATGGTCCCCCGAGCAAATACCGTACTAGGCCAGCTCAACGTCTCGGAAGAAGCGTCCGACAGGACAGGTGTCGAGGATGCAAAGAAGCGGTATTGGGTATTGCATGGGAAGAGGGATATACCCAGCTTTGGGCGAGCCAGCGCGACACCAGTGTAGGGGGGGGGGGCAAAGCCGGCTTCTCCAACGACTCGTGAGGCTAATCACTCTTCCATGTGCTCGCCCTTGGAAGCTGGGAGGACCAGTCCGCCAGAGCTGCTGCAGCAAGCTGGGGTCGGCCAGCGTCGCTGCCATCCCTTTCCCTGCGAGGTAGTGGCTCCAATGGCCCCTAAGGGCTTAGGATGAGAGGGCCCGACTTCCTGGCCGGTGCCTCTGAGGGGGTGGGAAGACCAGCCGAGGCGCCAGGTAGACAGACTCCAGCGTGCACTTTGACGGCAGAGGCAAAGGCCGGGTCACTACAGGGACACCCTCCATGCATCTATTTTCATGCTGCCCCCCACTGACACCTGCAGCAGCGGCGGCAGCAGCAGCAGCAGCGGCGGCGGCGGCAGCACTTGGATGATTTCGGGACATATCCACTGCTGGCACCTGTGTAGTGAAGAGGAACGGGATTGGGTAGAGGGGCGAAAGAGAGAAAGAGAGAGATGAGAAGGAACAAGATTGGCCGGCCAAGTGGCTGCTCTTCAGCAAGGACTGCAGGGCAGCAGCCGAACGAACTCTCACAAGTCGAAGTGCGAACGAGACTGGACGCACTGGAACGGGACTATTCGGTGAACTCCACACCCACCTCCCGCATTTCGCAGTTGGGTGTGAGCCGGAGTGCTCTTTGGTTGTGGCTCTGGCTCTGTCTCTGGAGGAGGGGCCCAGGTCGGGTCTCATCCATGGATGACCCTCCTCCACCCACTTTGAATCCCACTCCAACTCCAACTCCCAACTCCCACGCACCCACCACACCTCGACATCCCCTCCCCTTCCCCCCTCCCCTTCAGGCTCCCCCTCCCCTCTGCCCCTGCACGAGGCACGGCACAACTACGTACTCCCAGCAAGCGACACCAACCGCGGCCAGGACCCGTGCTCTCTCTACGCAATCCTGCCCACTGTCCCACCGGGCCTACTGCGACAAGAGATCCCTTCCGACGCCGCAACCTGTGCGATGACTTCTTCCCGCTTTCCCCTCGACGCCGCCTGCACTTGATCAAAACCCAAGCGCCATCGGGTCGGTAGCCTAGCAATCGAAACCTTCCTCATCTAAACTCTTCCCAAACCTCCTTCGACATCCCATACACCCAAGACACACCCAGATTCACCTCCCGGCGCAAAGGGAATACGGTGTCTGCTCACACAAGCGGCGTTGCTAGATCTGCGTGCCTGTCTCTGTACTGTACTCGTGGCGTACTAGGTACCTACCGACCTTGGCGACCGAGTCGGCGAACAAGCCACCCAGTCAGAGAGATCAAGTGTGGTAGAGTTGCAGCCAAGCGAACGTGGGGAAATTCCTTCTGGTGACCCTCGACTCGCCGAAACCGAAACCTTCACTTTTCCCAAGGAAGCTTTTTTCCCCTTCCTCTCTCTCACACCACACACAAACCTATTCCTCTCTTCCAGCGTGTGTTGCTTGCTTTCACATGGCTGCCAGCACAGCGTCACCCATTGCGACTTCTAGTCCCTTCACATCGATGAATCCCACGACAACAGAACACGACTTTCGCTTCCCGCGAAGGCCTGACGACCACTACAGCGGTACATCACAGCCCCAGGCGCATTCCAAGGCCAGCCCGAGCGACCTGCCCGCCGGTCTTCGGGATCTACGACTCGACCTCTCCGCAGCTCTCTACCCGAATGCGCAAGACGAATTTCTGAGGAACTCGGATTTTCCCCCCTTCCAGAAGGCAGCCATGGACTCCCACCAGAGCCCCGAAGACATGCAGAAGGAGGACCCTCTAGCGACACAGGTGTGGAAGTTCTTCAGCAAGACGAAGCACATGTTGCCAAACCAGCAACGCATGGAGAATCTGACGTGGAGAATGATGGCGTTCAACTTGCGCAAGAAGCAGCAAGAGGAAGAGAAAGCAAGGTCAGAAATCCCAACCCCCTCCTTGCGCCTTCTCTTTTCTTCCTTTTTTTGATTTTTTTATCCCTTCTTGCCTCTGGCGTCCTTCTTTCGTGTGCCATGCCAGAAAGAACCTGGCTAACCTCTGTGGGATGATGCAGGCTCGCTCGATCTGCGCCGGCACCTGCACCACCGGCTGCTACGCCCGCTGCGACGTTCAATGCCAACCCACCCAGCGGCATTGCTCAATTGCGCAAGTCGTCGGAACAGAATGTGAACCACTCAGAGCCCATGAACCTCGATGATTTCATCTTTTCCGACAACATTGCGACGCCTGTCACGAACCCATCGCCGCTGCCGCACAAGCAGGAGGAGAAGAACCAGCACCAAATGCCCTCTTCCTTCTCTTCAGCCATCCCCATCAAATCGCGCAAGGACTCGGCCATGCAGCAGCACTTTGTCCCGCAATCGGTCCCTTTCCCTCCCCATCACCAAAAGACCCATGACGAATTCAACTACGTTACTCGGCATCACCGTAAAACGAGTATTGACGAGCGACGGGTGAGCCGACCTTTTTTTTTCTTCAGTATTATTAATCTTGCTGCGAGCCAGTCAAACGAGGCGCATGGCTTTTTTTTTATTTTTAAACTCCTTCCCCTTCCCCCCCAGCCTTGACGTCTGCTTGTCTTTAAATATCTGTTATCTTGCGTACCCCCCCGGGCGCTGCACCGATGCACACCCCGATATCGTGTTAGTGCGTGTTCTGGTTTCGCTGAGCTGACCCCGTTCGCACTCAGACCCGTAAACGTCCGGCCGACTTCTCTCCCCAAGTACCCGCTGTAAACAGCACCACGACAACAACCAATGACTTGGATGCCGACTCAGAACTACACGAATACTCGCTCGATAACGCCAACGGATCCAACATGTCGCAACATTCGCATCAGACGGGTGTTCCCTTCCCTCTAGATACCTACAACATCGAAAACGACCCTATCATCACATCTGCCGGCCCCTTCCAGCAGAACTTCAACTTCTCGCCTTCCACCTCCCCCATGATATCTCACGGCCCATTTTCTACCGTCTACAATGGTTCTTCGGTCCAGTCTTCTTCTCTGAACCCGTCGGATTTCTATTCCCCGCCAGGATCGGCTTATCATTCCACCGTCTCAACGCCGCACCAAATGCCTGATAACGAGGGCTTCTACTTTGGATCGATGGATATGCGTAGTCAAAGGCAACAGCCTTTCCGGCAAGGTCCTCAGAGCATGGGAAACCAAATGAACGGACAGTTTATGTACAACGCACAAAACGGAAACCCCATGTTCCCGGCCTCAGCACCCGCCACCGAGACTGTGTCTGCCTTCAGCGCCGCGCCCAGTCCCTTTGGCCACATCGACCCGACCCAGGTCTTCCAGCCAGATCATCCCGTTCGCTCTCCAGGCATGACTATCCCCAATGAGGGCATGTTCACATTTGGCGCAGACTCGGATGAGGAGGATGGCGGTGCATTTGCCGACCGCAACATGGTTATGTCTCAAGACTTTTCGCCCGGTCCTATGGACGAGAGCAACTCTCTTGGTTGGGACCCGACTCTGCCCGGCCAGTACAGCACACAGGCTGCGCGGTATCCTGGTGGTCCGCCCCGAAAACAGGTTACTATTGGTGGCACCACAACGGATTATGTCGAAAACAATGACTGGGAAGGCGGTAGCCTGCCGCGATCGCAGTCCTTCAGGCAAGGTTCCGACAGGAGGGGTGGCAAGGTTCCGCGCACGGCTTCGACGCCTGCGGGACATCTGGGCAGAAACGGAAACCCCTTTGATCGCATGGCACAGTCCACGCCCAACTCTCCACCGGAGAACAACGGCACGGTGTCTGGGTTCTCTTCCGTCGCCCCTAGCCGGCCCTCGTCTCCTCCTGGTTCCAAGCAAGGTTCCACGACAAACCTGCAGGCGGCCGCGGGCAACCAGGGAGAAGGGAACGCCCCCACCACATGTACAAACTGCTTCACTCAGACAACGCCGCTCTGGCGACGAAACCCTGAGGGTCAGCCCCTTTGCAACGCTTGTGGTCTGTTCTTGAAGCTCCATGGCGTCGTCCGACCCTTGAGTTTGAAGACCGATGTCATCAAGAAGAGGAATCGCGGCTCGGGCGCGAGCTTGCCCGTCGGCGGCACAAGCACGAGATCGAAGAAGAGCGCTGCGGCAAGTGCCTCTGGGCCAGGATCCCGCAAGAACTCGACGCTTGCTGTTTCCACTCCGGCCAACAACGTCACCACGCCGCCTGCTGCCACTCGAGCCAGCAGCGCCAACGAAGGAGAGAGCCCCGTCAGCGGTCCCGCGTCGGGAGGCAACACTGCCGGCAGCACACCGACAAGCTACGGAACCGGTTCGTCTACCGGCGTTGCTGCTGGTGGTAAGGGGGTTGTGCCGATCGCTGCAGCCCCACCCAAGAACACACCTGGTCCCGGTGCTGCCGCCATATCTCGCAACGTCGGCACATCCTCGTCCTCTGGCTCCTCGAAGCGCCAGCGTCGTCACAGCAAGAGTGCCGGCAGCGAGGGCATTGCGGGCATGGACGTCGACAGTCCCGAGACCTCGACGGGCTCTCCTAACGAGGCTGCGAAATCGCTAGGTTCTACCACCGGTCTTTCCAGCATGTCAACAACTGGCTCACTGGGCTTGGCCAATGGCTTCGGCATGACTCAGCGTCCCATGATGGGAATGCCTGGCGGCCAGAACGGCCAGATGATGAACCCAGGCGGCCCCACTTCCGGTCCACAGGAATGGGAATGGCTCACGATGAGTCTCTGAGGCCCCCTGCGCCCCACCCTCATCTCGGTCACCGACACGACCGCAGTTTTGGAGGCAGCACGCGTGCTGCTGCAAATCCATTTTACAACTGTTTTTATTTTATTTTACCGTTTTCATTTCGACGATAGATCGATGCCGGGATGCGCTCCTTTCCCGTTGCGTATTTTGAACGACTTGAGAGAATATGTCACGGCGAATGGGTTGATTTATACGGGTTGATTTAACGAATTCTGCTTGATACCACCATGACCTCGAAGTTATTCTTTGTGCGGCGGTCTTCTGTTTTTGGGCCGTCTATATATGGGAAGATAATGGAGGGCGACCTGATGTGTTTACTCGATATCCTACAATCGTGGCGGCGATACGAAGGGGATCTCCTATGCTCATCCTACCAGGGGATCCCCAGCCTTCGCCGCTGGCGATCTACGACTTAATGCGCCGAGGAATGAGGGGCTTGATGAAGCCGATGGAAGCTGGGAGGGAGTGAGGTTTATGATGTTGTTTGGAAGAGCAGAGGCTTTCTTTTTACGAGCATGTCAGGGAATTGATTTTCTCAGGGGCCAACATTTGAGCGTGTGGTTATTTTGCCTAGGCGTCTTCAGACTTTTTGGGGCGGGACGAATTTGCTATCTTGAAGCGGCTCTAGAGCGACGTCTTTGAAAGACCTGGAGAAGCGGCGGCGGTACATGGCTTCCTCGTTTTGGGTTTCCCAACGAGGGAGGGGAGTCTCTACTGGGAGCAGGAATACGTCTTCTGGGGTGTTTTTTATACCTAGAGCTATGCACCCGGACGATATAAACCGAGATACCTCTTCATTCTTCACATTGCTCTCCATTCATCGTTTGGCTGACCGTGCAACTGTTTTGAATCCGTGTCGAGATGGACCCCTACTGGCATCCTTTGAGGTGCTTCTAGAACAATGCCGGGGATCAGGGAGAGCACGAGCGGCGGGGTTGAAGCGCGGGGTCGGGCGCAGTGTCACCATGGCAGTCCCCATATGCGCGGGCGACGGTTATTCGTCGGCCAAGCCACGGGCTCTCGTGGTCTCGTGGTGCCGGAGGGCGAGATTGGCTGCGGAGCCGAGCGGGGCGCCGGTCCCGGGAGTCCCCCTGCCGAACGCGAGGTCCGAACCCCGCGCTCTTAGAATCCCCCTTTGGTCTCTTCCGTTGGCGATATCTTGGACCAGGGAGAAAGCGGGTCTGACTCGAAGCTTTCGATTATTGACTGAGCACTGTACAAAACATGGGCGGTCAAAGGAGGTTGGTTACCCAGCCTTTGTTCGGGGGAAGGGGGAGGGCAAATGCGTTTGAGGTAGTGCGGATATTTGCAACGGCGACAGTCTAGAACGGGTAGGGGACGGTGTAATTAGCGGGCCCGTGACAGTCTACGTCTTTGGAGAGGAGAAGCTGGGGGCACGGGTTTGGGCACAAGGGGGGGCATGTATGGATGTGCCGGCGGCAACAACGCAGTTTCCCCCCGTCTCAGCAGCAGCCGGAGCAGTAGCCGCCTCCGCCGCGGTGGGATGGTAGAGTTTCTCATATGCCGCGAGCCTATCGAGCAGGCACCCAGCAACGATCGTGGGGCGTCAGGGTCTTCTCTCTCTCTCTCTCTCTCTCTCTCGCGGCGAAGGGGAACCAACATGCGGTGTGGAGTGGATCGTTGGGTTCCCGAGTCAAGTGCGCGGCGTTCGTCTTTGCGGACACGCCGTCCCCACGGCGCTGGCTTGGGAGTATCGCCGGTGGAATCACATCAACTCGGCAGGGAGACGAGGATGGCGAGGTCCTAATATAGCTTCACTTAATCTTCTCCAGTTCGTCCATACGTCTGTTAGTTGGCGTCAATACCGTCACGCCGGGAAGGCTTACCAGGGGGGGCGCATCCGACAACCGGCCCATCGGCCGGGGCTGGCTTGTGCTGTCAAGGTGGAAAACTCCTGTAGGCTATGGTCGACGTCGCAATAGCTCTGGCATGGTGTTGAATGGACCTGAGCTGGGTGGTGTTTGATGGCGCAAGAGAAGCGTTACGCCGGGCCAGGGCTCAGGGTCCAAGAGGGCAGAGTGTTTTTCCGCCAACGTCGTTTTGGCGCGAGCATAGAGGACGGGCGTCTTCTCGACGTATCCAGGATCATGTTGTCTCTCGTTCTCGTGGGGTTTCCGGACCCTTGGCACGCAATTTCTGCCTTGAGGCTCTTCGGAACCCATGTTACCAGTCATTATTTGGTGTCGAGGCTGAGGGGTTTCATATTGATGGAATTGAATACTACGGTCACACAGCATGGCACCTCGCAGACAACCTTGTCTGTTCGTCGGATGATATCCTTTCGTGGTCCACGGAAGGGAGCAGCCCGTCGATGTAGGGAGAAACCACCGCCCCCATCGTCATTTTCCGGAATTCTGACCCAGTTAACGGTTTTTGGTGCTCGTCAAATGAAGGGTATCATTTAGTGGCTCTAGTGTACTCGGCCGACTTGTCTTGCCTTCTCGGGCATGGCATCTCGTGGCTTGAAAGGTTGTTCAGTGAACGCCGTGCTGATGGTCGATTAACAACATTTTAAGCCAAGTTAGTAGCACTCGACCCTCATCGGCCAGTCCATTGCTGCCGAGCTTTCAGGTCGCCAGCTTGTCCAAAAAGAACTGGGTAATCTCGCTTTACTGGGCGAGTGACCAATGTCTCTGATTTAAAAATCAGTTATTCATTTCAGCGCATCGAGTTGAGTTACGCGGCGCATACGTTGGGTATAGGATGCCACGGGCCAGTGTACTCCCTTTTGCGCTTTTGAGCCTCTAAGATGCGAGTTACACCACATGCTACCTAATCTCTCGCCTGGACGGTTAAAGATATTTTTTTACTACTAAAGCACGTGGCGGAAATTTTATGAATCGTGTCAGCTAAAATACAATAGAAAAGGCTACATGAAACCACCAAGGACATAGGTTTTGGCGGAAGATTCTGCGAATGTGACCAAGAGTCTTGACATTCGGACAAATGGCGGCGTCATGGCCCCGCCTTTTATTTTGGTCCCAGAAAATTTAGATTAGCGAACCATTGGCCCAAACTGGTTCATCTCATCAGCAGCAAGTGTTCTTTTGGGAAAGAACTCTTCTTTTTTGATAATCAGTTGGATTTGGGTGGAGGACTTTTAAAATCGTTGACTCGTGAGACGGTCGACATGGGCCAGATCAGGATGGGGCGATGGTGTTGCCGGTGACTTTCTTCTTTCCCGGCAAATCATCTCAACAGAATTTCCATGTTGAAAGACAGCTTGAAAGAGATGCTTATACGTAGAATTCTTGGTGGCTTCCGTGTCTGGACCGACTTGCCCGTTGCTAGGTTCACACCTCACTCCTTAGCCACATGCGTGCTTGAAGCGTAATGAATCCGACAACCCAAAGCTGTTAGCTTTTTATAAAATTCGATCAGCATTGATTCTCACGTTATTGCGGTTCCATCTCGAGTCGGAACTGCGTTGGATCAAGGTTCCGTCCTCTAGGCCGACAGCAGGTCACTCACTTCCAATATAACTAACTTCGCTCCACAAAATTGTCACACACGATCATACCCACTGGAAAACTCGGGATCCCGTCCGCTCTCCCATAGATAAGCCAGTGAGGGCCGGATTAGTAGTTGGGTCGGTGACGACCAGCGAATACCTGGTGTTGTATGTTTTTTGTTTTGCTCGGGGGTTTCACTGGCTAGATAGGACATAATCAACTGCCTGGGTCTTGACTAATTGATATAGCGCTTGCTCTCCACCGCGTCTGCCTCTCGTTGTCTTTTTCTGCGGGCTAAGATGTCTCTATGAGATGAGAAACTTATTAGAATACGACACTGTTTGAAAGGCTCTCTCCCTTTAAGCTAGACGCGCCAGGCACGCCTTCTTACGATACTGGCGGTACTACGCTAACTATCTGCGTTAACGTGAGACTCGGCAACAGCCAACGTCAGAGGGACTCTCACGGAGATTCGGGACAATGTTTTGTTCTTGGAGTGCTTTTAAGAGATAATCATGCCAAAAGAAACGCCACAAATCCACAGCATACTACAGTTCTCATTAGAGTTATAAAGTATTAGAGGGGATAATAGGTAAATATTTCAAAGCAGGGCAATGTTTGCATATTATTTCACGACAGTCACTCATCGCTAGTAGACGCTCCATCGCCACCTCACAGGAAGATATACTTAAACGCTGTTTCACAAAAAAACACTCATTGTTAGCATAAGCTCCATTGCCATCTCACGAAACTTTCACAGAAGATTCTATGCCTGATAATAACAAGGGTTCCTCTTCATCTCTAACTAGCTTCGCAGCAGTGGCTCGCCTGTGGAAAGCAGAAACTCCCCTTCAACCATGATCCGCCACAGCCTATTTGGTTTCTTGGGGCTGCAGGACCATGTATGGCGTTCTGGCTGAATCTGCATTGAAATTGCGGTTTTGTATGGCCGACTAGGTGTTCAAACGAGTAATACAGTGACTGGCCGAGAACATTGGAGCTTAAGCTGAGATGTGATCCGGATATCCCACCGTTACCTGGTCCGAAAGGGTAAGTCAAAGATCGAGCACAAGATCTTAACGCTGTGTACTGATCGTCATGTCTCAAGACTGACATCCTAAGCGATGGGTACCAGTCGCATTGGAATCTTGAAGCCTACATAGGTATGAATGAGATATTTTGCGTCAAAAAGCACAGCTGTAATGATAACTGGTAGGCTGTTAGCGTTAAGCACCTGGTCGAGCGATGAAGCGTGGTCCTGCGTGCAGAGGTGTCTGGCTCATAGCTTTTTCCCTTGGGATAAACTAGCACTAACGGTCTAGAACATTCGCTTAGTTTACTGAGTAAGTGCTGAGAGTGACAGAAAAACAAAAAACCGACCCCCCAATAGGAGAGCCTTCCTTGTGATAATGCTATTTTGCTGCAAAATCAAGGGTCTGATCACTTACTGCTACAATATCGCGAGTTTTGGGTATTAGTATACTAAAAAAGGCAGTACAAATAATGCCT